ACACATTCAGTGAAAAGAAGCCCACCACTCCTCTTAGTGCAGGGGTCTCCAATCCCAGGGCTGCGGCCTGCTACCTGGCTGTGTGAGCAATGACAGCTTGCACTCCCGCGTAAAGTTGTCCTTGTATGCGCACCCGCTGCTCACACAAATGGAGCTGTACACACTTGCAATGCGCCCCCCTGCGACTAGCAGGGAACTGTCCCCCTCCCCCCTCTGCTGGCCCGCTAAGCCAGAAAGGTTCGAGACCGCTGTTTTAGTGCATATAAACTCTGAGGAAGGGGGAGATACAGCCCCTTATTATACACAGGGATCCTGTTCCTGCTTCACAACCATGGAAAATGAAAACATGCACAATAAGATCTTTTAAATAAGAAAACTTCATTCATTCATTTATTCATTAATGTGCCTCGGTGGCATACAATAATATACTAAAAAGAATAATTACAAAAACACTATAATTACAATATTAATATTATTTTTATAAAAATCCAGAAGTGCTAGGGAAGAGCATTAGATGCTACATACAATGTAGCCACCTCATTAAATCTCCATTTCTGTGAGACCCTCAAGCCTGTGGACATAACCAAGTTTTAATAGACTCCCAGAAGGAGACTGCCATTTAGTACTCATATAAAGTAACAAAAATCAAAAATTACAAGTAAGTAAAACCTTTACTGAATTTCCTGAGATCTGGTCTCTGTTTAACAAACATTGAAACATAAAACCATGGATAATGAGATTATGGATAATGAAAGCCTACTTCTGTCTTCCGCCCTCTCTTGGATATTATACATATTAGGCATATGCCTGTACTTAATCTGCGTATTTTTTTTCAGACTTTGAAGAAAGTTTAGAAGACAAGCCTCATTTTAGCTTCTTTATTTTTTGGATTCTTTTGTGCCTTGTTTCCTTTCATCTGATTATATGAAATATAGGTGCTGCTGACAGATAATTAGGATTTGTTTTATATATGCTTTGTTACTTGGGTTGCCATTTTGTAATTATTTCGTACCTACTTTTGTACTTGTGCAATTTTTATGCTACTCTTACTGATGTCAGCAACCCAGAGTTGGTTGAAGTCAAACAGCATCAAAATTGAATGAATGAATGAGTGAAATCCAGAATATCAACCATTTACTTGTATAAAGTCTTTGTGACTATAGCCTGATATCCTATCAAGGAAATGCTAGCTAATGATTGGATGCCCCATAGTTAGAAAATTTCCCCACATGCTAGCTGTGATACCTTGCCTCTAGAATCCTTTAGTCTTTTTTCTGCTAATGAAGAATTTTATCCAATTTTTTTCCCCTTTCTGTACTGTTCAGACACATTAAGGATTGAGGTTTATATATTATCACAAAACAGCAAATACTTTGACCCGGTATTATAAAGCTATGTGGAATTTGCATACACTAAGACAGTGATGGCGAACCTTTTAGAGACTGAGTGCCCAAACTGCAACCCAAAACTCACTTACGCAGCGTCGAGTGCCGGGTGGGTGTGGCCCATTGGGTGCGTGTGGCACATTGGGTGGACGTGGCTGTGGTGGTAATGGCAGACTGGGTGGGACTAAAAAATTCAATCAATCAATTCTAACTTTGCAAGATCTTTTTTTTTCCCCGCGAGAAGTTGAAATTGACTGATTGAACCTTTTTTTTTTTTTACACACGGCGGAGGCCTAAAGCGAAAAGGATTTATAAAACCCAGCTGAAGGCCTAGGACTGGAGCGACGGCGCGCGTGCCCCACAGAGGGGGCTCTGAGTGCCGCCTCTGGCACCCGTGCCATAGGTTCGCCACCACTGCATTAAAGACTGAGATTAATTTTGTTTGCATGGAAAGACGATCAGTTTCACTGCAGGATACAGTGGTGGGTTTTTTGTTTTTTTTACTTATTCCAGGATAAAGATGTTATTCAGGCATTATGAACCAACTTTTGAGATCATAAGAGAGATAGAAAGAAAAGTGCACAGACAGATGATAAAAATAAAGGCAAGGGCAACAAAAAATTAATGTGTGAGGGTATAGGTTTTCTAAGAAACGGGTTCAGCTTGTGACCTGCAGGTTGCATATTTCTATGCGTGCCATAAATCAAGCCAAACATAATATGGAATGCCTGCTATTTTTCTGTACTGAATAAAGAAGAAAGTTTAAAAGAAAAATCATACATTGATAGCACCACTCTTTTCNTTTCCCCTTCACTGAATGTGTATGTATATAAAATTTCTATAGAAAATATGATAGGAAGTTTACTACATGTAATAATAAAAATCATATAATATTGTTGCTCACACAAATAGATGTTGGCATTTTTATCCATATATTGAATCCTTCCCAAGGACCTGGGATAAGCATATGTTGTTTGATGATGTTAAAGGTATCCTCACAGGAAGTAAAACTGCCTTTTGCAATGGTGATTTTGCTAGTGCTAAAGTTCTTCAAATGGTACTCCAGATGTTAAAGATTGCCTCCAAAACACCTATTACTATTGGTACTATCTTCACTGTCTTTTGCTTCAGTTGTTCTACTTCTGTTTGCAAGTCTTTGTATTTTTTTTACTTTCTTCAGTTCTTTCTCTTTTATTCTACTTTCCAGGTATTGCTACATCCACTATCCAGACATTTTTGTCTTTGTTATCAATAATTGTAAGTTTATATGGCAGGTGCTTGTCTGTTTGAATTCTGAAGTCCAAGAGCACAGGTTCCTCCAAACAAATTGTCATATTATAGTTCAACTAGTTCAACTAGTTCTAAAAAGGAAAAGTTAGCTTGCATAGAATAATGAATGCATATCTGAAGCAAAACTGAGCTTAATTGTTTATAGAATGTACTGGCCAAAATATTCACAAACTGGCCAATACTACCTGAATTGTGAGTAGGTAATGCTACATCAGGCACAAATTCAAGCAAGACAGATTATATAGTTTATATGTTATCTCTCTTACCAAAACACATTATGTGAAAGTCTTAATTCACCAAAGCCATGATAGGCAATGGAGATCAAAGTCTATGAGTACATTGGTGACTATGGCATATAGAAGATTGTGACTTGAATTGTAAAAGGAATAATTGTTAAACAGCTTGGAATAAAACGTGAAGTAAGAAAATAATGTTTGGTGTCTCTGAAACTAAGAAACTAAGAGAAAAGAATATGATAGATTTCAGCAGAGATAATCTAAACTTGTGGAGTGAAGTTGATGCATTCAGTGCATGTGTAGGTTTGCTTATGAATGAAAAGGCTAGAATATGTGTCAGAAAATATGAATTGGTGTCATATAAGTTGTTGGGTGCATATGAAAATAGAAATCCTCAGATTGGGGCAGTTGCATGTTCTGCCTCACTGAATAATGAGAGCAGAAGAACTAGGAATGAGCTTTAAGAAAAAATAGTGATGTTCTGAATGAAAGCAATATAGTAGGGAAAAAAATATTCTGCTAGGAAACATGAATGGATGAGTAGAAATAAAATGAGAGAGAACTAGAAAAAGTGGGCCATTTGGAGGCTTAAGAATGAAGGACAATTGAATCTGCTGAATATCTGTCAATAAAAGGATCTAGTTTTTGTTTGCTTGTTATATAATTTGTTCTTTAAAAATATTCAACTATGTGGAAAGAAATAAATGCAAATCTAAAATCATGATTGATTTGATATTTTATGTTGAATAATTGTGATAATTAGGAGATAAAAAAATGATCACAGAGTCACAATGTTGGAAGTATCAAGATCTTGAGAAAAAATAGACATGAAAGAAATGTGTAGAAATTAAGGTAATAAGAGTGAAAGTAAAACATCTGCATAAAAATAAAGTATAAGTCCTATATGAACAATTATTAGAAGATATAGGCATCTCTCAACATAATGAAGAGAAAGTAGATGTAAGGAACAAGCTATTTTAGAACTGAGTAAAAACTATTATATAGAGTGCTAGTGATGCGAGTGGAGTTTTGCTAATAGGAAGGATTAGCAAAAAAGGATGGTACGAGGTAAAAGAAGCTGCAAATAAGGAAGAATGCACATGATTCCTGCAAAAAATAATTCAGCAATAGTTGTATAGATAGAAAAGATCAAAGAATATAGTCAAAGAGATCAGAAAGTTTGTAATAAAAGAAACAGAAAAAAACATGGGATGGTTTGAAAGTGAGTGAATTGGCTAAACAAGAAGCCTCCAATCCAGTGAATGGAATAAAAAGTAAAAGTAATAAAACATTTAGGATGTAACTTAAAAAGAAAATTTTGGAAGGAGTATTTGGGGGAAGTGTGTGGGAAGGATCCGAATATATTAAGGGTGGAACAAAAATGGTGGAGCAATGTCAAAAAATGTTAAGGCTGCAACTGTAATTGAAGTAATGGGGAAAATATACATACATAATATGGTTGGTTTATGAAGTATCTGTGCAACTTGCTTAATGTGTGTGAAGACTATATTAGTGCATAATTGGAAGAATGCAATTATTGATCTATTCAAATGGAAAGTAGCAAAACATAAAGCAGAATTAGTTTGTTTAGTATGCCAGGAAAGTCTTTCGTAGAATTCCTACCCCCTCCCAAAAAAATTAGGTGCAAAAACTAAACTCCCCACATCTGCTGTCCAATTTCTATCCATTTTAAATATCTTACCTTGACTACAGGCTGAAGACTAGAGGAACAGAAGCCAACAAGGAAATAATTTTTTCTGCAGCTTTTTTCCTTGAACTGGAGAAAAAAAAAATGCATCTCCAAAAATTTAGTCAACTAGGACTTTTGCAACAAAATGGAGAGTGCCAGCTTTATCTGTCCATCTGATTGCTTATAGAGCCCAGCTAAGACTTAAAGGCTAGATTGTAGACTGCCTCTATATTATAGAGATCCTTTTTACAATATGCACAGTTTATTGAGGTCTCAGGATTGATTGGAATAAAAATTAATCCTGGTGCTTTTGCAAAATTTTGACATTTTAATTCTATTTGGGACAATGCTTTGTTTTTGTTTTTTTCACTACAGATGGAAAGCCAGTGTCATTGTCTCCAATTGAATCCCAGCCCCACAGCCCTCATTACACAGCCACAAGTCAACGTGAAAGAGAAAGCCTGGAAGTTCGCATGCGGGAAGTGGAAGAGGAAAATCGTGCACTACGCAAGCAGCTCAGTCTGGTCCAGAGCCGGGGCATGTCCCACCGACGAGGCAATCACTCAAAAACTTACTCCATGGAGGAAGGGACTGGGGACAGTGAGAGCCTCCGGGCTGGCATTGTGGCAGGGAACAGCTCTGAATGTGGACAACAGCCAGCAGTGGAGAAGTGCGAGGTAGGCAGACGATTTCCTAGCTAAGCCATGTTTCTAAAAGCAAATCGACTTGATGCTATTGGAATAGTCTCCACTAGCTTTTGAATCTTGACTGTGACTGCAGCAAAGACAAAATTAAGTACATGATAGGGACGGAATCATCTGCTCACTTTGTTTGTCATCTGCTACAAATAGGGAAGGAGAAAACAGAAACCACATGGATCTCGTTTAAGATAGGCACATTTAATAGAGTCAGTATGGCTATTGACTTCATCAGAGTGGCAAAAATGTTTTTTTCTTTTTTAGATTTTTATCCCGCTTTTTTTTAAATGTACAATTCAAGGAGGTAAGCATATCAATTCTCCTTCCTCCTTCTATTTTCTCCACAATAACAGCTGTGGGAGGTGAGTTGGGCTGAGAGAGACTACCCTTTTAAGTAGTCCAAACAAGAAACCGATATTACAAGTACTAAACACAAATTTGATAAAAGTATCTCTTCTTTAAGGAAAAAAAGTTGTACTAATAAGGGATGCTATCTGTTTACTAATACCCAGTTTAGTGTTACAGAAATATAAGCTGTACAAAATCTGTAATTAATGTAACAAAACATATGTGACAGTCTGTAAATAGAGTTAACGTAATAAAAATATGGTATTAAAGAGAATCTTGAGGTATGGAGAATATATTTTAATTGGTGTTGAAAAATATTTAAATATAATAGGAGCATAGGAATTGGATACTTAAAATCTTATGCTTAGTATACACTAAATTAAAAAAAAAATTAAGTTCTATGGAAATTCATAGTATGTTTATAAAACTCCTGATAATTCTATTGTTGACTCTAAATCTCAGAAGACATAAACATTGTAAAATAAATGGACCATGCTCTGCTGTGTGCTGGAAGAGAATCAGTGTTCTTTACTCTCAGTCTGTAACCTACAATGAAATGTTCACAAATGGTGGCAGAAATTAATAAAAAGCACATTTTAAGCTGTAATATATAATCTGAATAATATGGAAGTTATTGTAATACAGTTAATGCTTGTTTCCTCCTGGTGTTTATCCCACACAATTGCACAATCTATTTTTGTTCCCATAGTTCTTATTGTGAAGCTATCAATGCATAATACAAGACAGACATCTCTGTAGGATGGAGTTGAAAAAGTCAAGATAGTGGCCACAACAATGCAATTAAATCTCGACCTGTTTTTTATGTATGCTAACATTTTGTGCCCATTTGTTGCCCACCTTTATGGCCAACATCTTGACCTTTTTTAACCATATTTGGGAGACATCCCTGCAACAAGTTCTTTGTTTAACACTTGACTTGTCCCAGAGCCTGACCTTGATTAGGACTGAGAAGGGAATGACTCACCTGGCTTCTAGTCCAACGCTTTAACCATTATTCAATCTTAGCTCTCTTTATTATAGCAATAATAAAATATCAAGTATACTCTTCTTTACCTTCTCTATACAGGTAGCCCTCAACTTACAGCAGTTCATTTAGTGACCATTCAAAGTTACAACAAAATTGAAAAAAGTGACCTATGACAGTTTTTCACCCTTATGACCATTGCAGCATCCCCATAGTCACATGATCAAAGTTCAGATGCTTAGTGACTGATTCATAGTTATGATGATTGCAGTATCCCAGGGTTATGTGATCACCTTTTGTAACGTTCTGACAAACAAAGTCAATGTGGAAACCAGATTCGCTTAACAATCGTGTTGGTAGCGCAGTGGTTAGAATGCAGTATTGCAGGCTAATTCTGCTGACGGCCAACAGTCAGCAGTTTGGCAGTTCAAGTCTCACTGGCTCAAGGTTGACTCAGCCTTCCATCCTTCTGAGGTCAGTAAAATGAGGAGCCAGGTTGTTGGGGGCAATATGCTGACTCTGTAAACCACTTAGAGGGGGCTGTAAAGCCCTATGGAGTGGTATGTAAGTCTAAGTGCTATTGCTGTTAACAATTGCAGTGATTCACTTAACAGCTGTGGCAATAAAGGTCATAAAATGGGGCAAAACTCACTTAACAAATGTCTCATTTATCAACAGAAATTTTGGGCTCAGTTGTGATCATAAGTCACATTTCATTTTATACTGTAACTTGGATATATTCAATAGGCTTATAGAGTAAGCAAAGGATAACTCAATAAACAGAAGTATAAATAAGCTTTGGAATTAGCCCTAGGCAGCTTATGTAATTTTGCAATGAGCATAGTAGAATTCCCCCTCACAAAGAATAAAGAAACAATTCCAAACACTCAACTGAACTCTGCAACAGAAACAAATTGTCTTAATAGTTTCAGATCTGTATCCCCCAGCTTCTTGTGCTCTTTTAGCTTTTTTTTTTTAAATCCTGTCCCACTCTTTTTGCTGTAACCCTGAATGATGCAACTCTATGTACACTTGTCTGGGAATTAGTTTCACTGAACACAGCAGCACTGATTTCCAGTAGGATTATACTACAAGAGTTTGCTGAGTCACACTTGTCAAGAGAATGGTTTTAAAAACTAAGTGCTCATTATCCTTCTGAATGAAAAAAATAAAACCATCTTTATTCATAGCAATTCAAGCCTTCCTGCATTGATGAAGGTGGATCCTTCATTGCACTGGCTGTATGAAAGAGATAGATTGGGCACAAGTGTAGAATATCTAGGTCTGTGTCAGAAATTCAGAAGCTCAGGAATTCAGCAAATCAGCAGGACAGGAATTTCTGCCTTTTTCTGGATGTGGGGGAGGGTTGTATGTTGTAACAAACTTAGCATTACACTTCTTGCAGAACATCTTTAAATAACCTAAAGGTTGTTTTCTTTTTTCCTATTATGATCTGTGTTGGCTTAGAATGCACATTATTTTCTCTGCACTTTTTTTTGCGGATTTGACTTTTAGTTCTTTTCTAAAAAGCAAAAAGTCTGTTAGCAAACTCCCATGTTTTCTTTTGTTTGAGATGAAATATATTGGATTGAATTACTATTGTTATTATTATTTATTAAACTTAAATGCCACGTGACTAGGTGGCTCAGGACCCAAAGATTCAAGGGAGTACAAGCAATTTTGGACAAGGGAATGACTTAAAAAGTTGTATAGATAAAATGGCCTTTGAAATTCTAATATCTTTTACCAATAAATTGCTCGCCGTAGATTAGTGTTATGCTGTAGGCAATAGTTCTGTACAAAAGGAAACTTCCTGATGTTTGCCACACAACCCTTTCTTAATTATTTTCAGTAGTAAAATGGTTCTCACTTTTGTCCTTTCATGAGATTCCCAGTAATTCAGTAGCCGATTGGAAACTTAATAGAAACCTCCCTATCATCAGAATTGCCTCCAGGGTTTTCATCACTTATCCTATTACTAAAAATGTCAGTTATGTGTTTATATGAGAGGCTCATGTTCATTTTCCCTGTCAAGGATCCATTTCCCATAATCAGCAATTATTTGAGCTGAATTGTTACTATATATTGCAGTTCAAGTGACAGCTGTGTAGAGTAGACAACTTTAAAATAAGTCACTATTACACTGCTACTTTTGAAAAATATTTCTTCTGGCCTATTTCTTGACCACTTTACATAATAATTCAGTTAAAAAACAAGAAAAGCTACAGGTAGTCCTTGACTTACAGCAGTTCATTTAGTGACTGTTCAAAGTTATAACATCACTGAAAAAAGTGACTTATGACTGTTTTTCACACTTACAATCGTTGCAGCATCCCTGTGGTCATGGGATCAAAATTCAGATGCTTGACAATTGACTCATATTTATGACAGTTGCAGTGTACCGGGAAGAAGTGATCACCTTTTGCGACCTTCTGACAACCAAAGTCAATGGGGAAGTCAGATTCACTTAACAACTGTGTTACTAACTTAACAACTGTGGCAAGAAAGGTCATAAAATGGAGTAAAATTCACTTAACAACTGTCTCACTTAGCAAAATAAAGTTTGGGTTCAATTCTGGTCATAAGTCAAGGACTACCTATATTTGACCAAATTTTATAATTTTCAATGCAGCATTTTAATGATCATGTTTTCTCCATTCATATATCTGCCTTAACAATGACCTTTATGGATAAATTACTGTGATTCCAATTTTCTGTTTGTGAAATTATCTAAGAAGGCAACTTGTTAAAGGCATTAAAAAGTTAAATATTAAATATTTAAATATTAAAAAAACATCAGTGGTGGAAGAAGCAGGATTTTAAATAATGAACAAGTGCTGAAAGAGTTTTTTGAGACTGAAGAGACTGAATTAGTTCTTTGCACTGACTGTCATTATAGAAGATGTTGGAAAGAAGTTCATATGGGACATATTTATTTTCAAGCAGGGAAAATGAAGTGTTACATCAAAGATAAGGAATAAATCTTTTAGCAATTCACTGCTAGGATATACAAAGATAGAAGATATTGTTCTCTTTGGGGCTTCCCTGCAGGATTCCATCAGGTGATAGGAAGTTAGACAAGATGGATCTTAATATCTTTTTGTCAATGAATGAAGATATTTATTCTTACTAAATTAATTATTACATTACTTGATATTCTCAAAACCACACACTGGGATCTGACCCAGTAGTATCTGCTCTTTTAGTGGCTCCAGCATAAAGTAATTAACATTAGAAAGAGACATTCCCATTCTTTGGTAAAATTATTTTCTTCCATATTTAAATAAGAAATGGTAAAATAATCTAAAGAAAAGCTAATTTGAAAGATTTCAGGAGGAATATGCTGGCTAGTTCAGACCTTTGAAGAAATTTTTCTTTACCTTGCCATTTTTGTCTTCTATATCTCTCTCTTATAATGATTTATTCAGAAATAAGGCATTACATGTTCAAGGGGATATCTCTAAGGTAATACATTGGAACTGCAAATTTAATAGCTAGGTGCAAGAAAAGATACCAATTTATTCAATAATTATGTTAAATTTTTAAAAGATTATATTGCCATAAGTTTGGTTAGAAACCTTCCTACATGTTCACACTTTATTTACAAAGTAGCAGCATAAACACACAAGGAAGAATTGGTTTTGAGGAGGATTACTTTGAGTAAAAAAACACTCTGTCCACATAATTGAGGTTTTGAAATTGAGAGCTATTTATTTTTTATTGACATCTCTCACTATGAGATCAGAAAGTACCAGGTTCAAGTCCTCCATTGGCTGAAGCTTGGGTTAGTCACAATGTCTCAGCAATTGATCTGGCTTACAGGTCTGCTTCTGTGAAGTTAAAATAAATGATAGTCTCTTTGAATGTTGCCTTTAGCTTTTAATGGTAAATTGAGCTTTAAATGAAGAAAATCACCACAACAAGATATGGAAGATCATATTGCTGTATAACAAGACTGTGGTCCTAAATGAGATATGCTAATGAAAAATTTATTGGGATTCTTCCATGGAGATTGAGAAGAGGCAGGAAGTGCAAGGTCTTGGGTTATGAGCAGATTTTAGGTTGAACAATATTCTTGCAGCAGCCAGTTTCTGACTTGGTTCTGCTCACAATCACTTTGCCAGGGATGCCCATTTTCTCATGAAATCTTGCATATGGTTTATTTTTTCCCCAGAACTAGTATCACCACTCTTCTGTGCTGACCAATTCCCTAAACACTTGCATAAAATGGCACTATACATATGCAGGATTATGGCATCTGATTTTTCCAAAAGAGTTATTTTTTCCATTCATGGTGGGTGACACGATAAAAAATAGGTACAGTTTCAATTGCACTATCATGGCTATCCTCTTGATTTTTTTTTTTTAATTATGGACACCTCTGTCTCCTTTGAAATGGAGGTGATTTAACTTGTTTCTATCTAAGCTAGTACCAAAATATAATGAATATTTTCTGCATAGTATAAAAAAATAGCGTAAGACTTAAGATTTTAGGGAAATTATGTCAGTGGTACTTCATATCCATAATGTTACAGCTTTTTAAAATATCAGGAAGAGTTAAACATCAAAAGCCTCAAACTGACCAGACTGCACTGATTTTGCTAGATTGTGATAATCTTTCTTCTCCTTGCTTTCATTGTTTGTTTCTCTGTCTTTTTAGACAATCCACGTCGCCATTGTATGCGCTGGATACAATGCCAGTCGGGATGTCGTCACTCTCGTCAAATCAGTCTTATTTCATAGGTAAAGCCTCTTTATCTTGCTTCATGCTTTTTTTGTAGAAATGATACAATGTGCCTTTGATTCTTCATAGTAGAAATGATGGTCAGTGTACCTGAATCTAGCTAGATAGCTTGCTTCTTTTAAAACATTTAAAACTACATAGTATGTAGAATATATTTCTTACCAAATTATGTTGCTTTGTACTGCCTCCTCTAAATTTCTGTCAACATGCACAGAATTTAATAATGATGCACTCATCCAACCATTAAAAAAATGTGACTAATGGTTATGAAAACTTTGCTTTTAGAAAGTAATCTCATTCCTTAAGCTTCTCTGCTTCCAACCTATTCCAACCTATTCCTAACTTGTCACTATTTTAAATTTCTTCCTGGGTTTTTAAAAAGACTACGCTTTTATCAGAAATGTGCCCACGTTTTTCTTTAGGTTTATTTTTAATGAGTTAAAAGCATGGATTTGAAGTGGGAGAACTGTGGAAACCAGCACAGCTAAGTGATAATATGTAGACAGTTTTTACTGATCTCAAAAATTCAGGGTTGAACTGTGTAGTCCTTGGTGCTCTCCGAGTTTGGTTGCTTGCATGTGGATGTTTCATTACCTGACTATGCAGGACCTTGCTCTAGCAGTGCTGGTGGTGATGTGGTTTTCCCCCCTTGGTAATTCCTTGATTAAGTTAGTATTTTCTTATCAATTGTTTCTCTAGTATTAATCCCTGTTTATCTGAATGCTGGCTGCAAATCTTTTTCAAAAAGCTTAGCAGGATTAGACATGGTTAGTTCTTAGATGAGTTAGATAGCAAAGAAAAAAAATCTCACAGAAAAGGGAAGCAGAAATTACTTTTGTTCATTCCATAGGCTCAGATTTTCCACACTGAACTAAAACTGTAGTTACAATTTTAAATTACAAGTTAAATTCATAAATTAGACCATTTTTGAATCAAAATAAAATACAGTACTTATTTATGGGGACTTTTTCCTACTCAAACTAAATTTGATTTGATTTTGTTTTGTTTTACATTAAATTGCAAAACATTTTTAAAGGGTTCTTTTTTAACTAAAATCTAATCCTTCAATCTTTAAAGTAGCAGTACAGATCATTGATTTCCATATCTGGGAGTAGTTATTTCACCATCACCACTTGTCTTGGAAATAATTAAGGTTACAGGGAAGGAAGGAAGGAAGGACATTCTGTGTACCAAAGGGCTGTCAGATGCAAATCATGAATTAAACATTCTGGTAGATCTTCCACAAACAATTAAATTAGTGTTGCCCTCAGAATGATTGTTTGGAGCTTGACTGAAGTATAATTTTATTGTAATGCTATTGTGGAAATTGGCTCAGAGAGGTCTTATCCTCCTCTTGAGTAGGGCACATCACAAAACTTCCACATAATTCAGTTATGTATCAGACTAAAGGAAGAAGAAGAGGTAAATAACTTTTATTTTAAAGTGACTAGAATGACTTGGTTTTTACAATTAGGGTGAGGGAAAATAGTGAAAGCTCTGCTCTTTAACTCTTAGATGTTGTCATGATTTATGAACATCAAAGGGTTTACTAACATGTGAAATATTTCAAAAGGAAAATGTATGTATTTTCAGATTAACAGCATTCCTCCTGCTTTTTCTGATTTGTCTGATTTTAAACGTTTCATTAATCTTTCTGATTAATAGTCCCAATACAGCGATGAAGATAAATGAAAAGAAAATAATTTATAAGCAATAGATTTAAAGCAAAAATATATTCCCTCTTTTTCTTTCAATATGATGCTTTCTGTTTGTTCGTTTGTGCTATACCAGGGGTTCCCAACCGGGGGTGCGAGACGATATTCCAGGGGGTTCGAAAACTTGGGCTTTCAAAATTATAATGTATATGCATAATTTGTTGCCGTTATTTCAAACTTTTGTAAGGGGTGTGAGAATATATCAGAAGTGTTCTAGGGGTGCGGGATATAGAAATGGTTGGGAGCCACTGTGCTATATAATATTTAGGTACTGAGCATATCATGGTTTGTTGAAAATCTCCATACATATTATATTTAGAGCTGTCAAGTTTTTCTAAAACACTTTTATTAGAGTTTTTATGAAATGGCATTACCAAAAAATATTTAACTGAAAGAAATATCCTTGCGAGTTTAAGAACTCATTTTTAATTAAAGTCTTTGTAAAACTGATCCATGTGACTGAGACTCTGTGACTACTTTGCCATTTGAACCTAAAATGTGGTTGCTCCTACCATAGAGTAACTGTGCATATACAGTATGCACAGCATATATTTTCATTTAGTAAGGACACTCAATCTCTAAATGGTCTTTTAAAACATAGTATGAAATTATATTAAATATTATAGTCCTTGATTTATGATAATTGTTATGAATGAAGAGAAGATACATCATACATGTCTGAACTTGCTTTAGAAGGCTACCTTTATTTTGAAAGAAAATCTGCCTTTTGAGTATCAAAACCTGGCTAATGGCTTTGAAACAGAATTTCTTCCTGTTTGTCTAAAGCCTGGATTGGTTGATCTTAAAGCTACATTGCAGATTGAATTACTATTCTTAGAACATTATAGTTGTGTTATATTATAAGTGAAGATCAGTCCTAGCCAGGCTCAGTTCTAAGAAAAAAGTATAGTATTTCCGTATATCAGCATCTAATAGGAAGGGTAGTGTTCTGAGTTCATAGTGATGGTAGCAGATGAGACAATTCCTATGTACAGTTTTTATTGAAAAGATTCACAACAATAAAGTTATTAACCCAAATCCTGGTTTGTAGCCTCTTCATAATAACGAATCAGTCATATCTGACTCTTGGCTATTCTATGGGCCAGGTCTCAATATCTTCCAATTTTGTTGAGTTTTTCTATGCTCTGGCTAGTGTCAGCTTTGATACTCTCCAGCCACCATGTTCTTTCTGGTTCTCTTTTATTGCTAACTCTTCTAAATATAATTGCTTTCTCCAGTGAATTCCCCTGCATGATATGGCCAAAGGAAGTGAGACACAGTTTCTTGATTTTGCCTTCTGGTGACATGTCTGGTGTTATGCGTTCCAGTACTTGCTTGTTAGTCAACTTTGCTGTCCAAGGAATACTCATGAGACTTTTCCAGCACCACCGCTCAATCAATCGATTTTCTTCCTGTCTTCCTTTTTCAAGGTCCAACTTTCACAACCATAGGTAACTACAGGAAACACAATAGAGTGAACTAACCTACGTTTAGTTGCCAGGCTCATTTCCTTGCTTTTCTATATCTGGTTCATGTTCATCATTGCTTTGCGACCCAGTGCAACCTGACGTTTTATTTCTGTGTGCATTCACCACTTTGAGCTCTCTATGGTCCTGGGAAAGTGAATTTTCCCACACGTTCTGTCTCTTCACTGTCAATTTCTATTTTGATGTTTCCCTTCCGTGCAGTGGTCATGAGCTTGGTCTTTTTCATGTTCAGAAAGAGACCAAAATTCTTACTTTCTTCTTGGATTTTCATTATCAGATGTTCCAGGTCTTTTTTGGTTTTTGAGAGGAAAGTTGTATCATCAGCATATTGAAGACTGTTGAAGTTTCTTCCACCAATCTTTACCCCAATTTTTGATTCTTCAAGATCTAGCTTCCACATGATTATTTCAGCACCTAGGTTGAATAAGAAAGATTCCTTTGTCTATCTTAAATTAATCTGTATCTCCATATGGTGTGTGCACAATGGCTTCCTGATGTGTGTGCAGTGATTGCACCAACATGATCTGTGCTGGTACCCCTTGGTCTTGTAGGGCTCTCCATAGTTTCTCATAATCAATATAATCAAAGGCTTTTTTGTAATCAATAAAGTACATATAAATGATCTTTTGCTGTTCACAAGATTTTTCCATGATCCAGCACAGTTTTGGAATATGGTCGTGGGTGCCATGACTGCTTTGGAAGCTGGCTTGGACATCTGGTAATTCCCTTTTGATGGCTGATGCTAGGCACCCTATCTGACATGTTTGAGACCTTTTCTATAGAATTTTCTTAATGAGTTTTTTGTGGAGTAGGTTGCCAGGTCTTTCTCCAACCCTGTAACTCACTTTTTGACAACTGCCCAGGGACAACAACTGCTGCAGGCTGGTTAATCTGGGCAACAATCGATCTGGTATGGAATTCTTTTTCTGTTGCCTCACCACGGTTAATGGGTTTGTGGATGCTCTTAGTCTAGCTGCTCAATTGAGACCTGTCTGGCTTAGGTATACTTTCAGGTGATATACATCCAGAATAATGCTTAACCGAATACACAAGCCCCCCCCCCCCGTGACAAGGGGTGATCCACATGGAGGGGTTCATAATAATACATGCTGAGATCGAGACTTTACAAAAGATAAAGTAGGGAAAGGAAGGTAGGTATTTATGTCAACAGTAACCTTCTTTCTATTTTTAAAGTCTTAATTATTTTTAAAGTTAAGGTCTTAACTTTAAAGCTTACCGTAATTCTGAACTGGTTTCACTTAAAATCCACATTTTCAAGTTTTTAATCAAGCTTTAGTCTCATAGATACCCATTTAACTTTGCAGACTGTCATTTATTTGTTTATTTTGTTATTTATCTGGCAGCTATATACTCTCAAAACAACAAAAATTGCCAAGAAATACTGTATTGGGAGTTCTTGGTCTTTTAATGGAAAGTGATCCTGATAAGGCAAAGTGACACATTTTCCGCAGGACTTGCCAGACGTTCTGCACAGCAAAGCAACTTAGTCACTTTGGTTCACCATTAGAAAAGTGATGTCCAAGTTATTTTATGAATTGGCTCCAAAGGAATGCTTTGTTTGAATCTTAGAGCTTTGACAGATTTATTTTATTCTTGCTACTATTTGGCTTGTGTTTTATTGTAAGTGTATTTGGTTATATTGCTTTTAGAAAGTATACATTACTTTTCCACTAAGTAGATGTGCTTTAGGTAATTTCGTAGATTAAAAAAAAATCTTAATTCTTTTTAGCAATACTCATATGTTAATGTAAGTAATCCGAAGAATAGGAGAATATT